CTGATGCTGCTTGGCCTGCTGTGTTCATCCAGCTCTACACCTTGTTATCTCAGATTCTCCAGCATCTGCAGTTCCTACTACCCCATCAGGATTTAATGTGTTTCTATGAGGTCCCCTCCCATCATTCTTCTAAATTCCAGCGAAAATAAGCCCAGTCGATCCAGTCTTTCCTCATGTCAGTCCTGCCATCCAGGGAGTCAGTCTGGTGAACCTTTGCTGGACTCCCTCAATAGCAAGAATGTCCTTCCTCAGACCAGGAGACCAAAACTGCACACAATACTCCATGCATCTATCTGTCCAGCCCCGTTAGAATTGTATACATTTCAATCAGACCCCCTCTCATTCTTCTAAACTGTAGTGAATACAAACTCAGGTGAGCCAATCTTTCCATATAGGTCAGTGCTGCCATCTCTGGTATCTGCCCAGTGAATATTTGGTTCACTGCTTCCATGGCAAGTATGTCCCCTCTGAGGTAGGGAGAATAAAACTGCACATTATAAAAGTGAAGTGGTAATTTTGAGATAGGAGCAGCATATTCCTAGTTTTCTTTCTCCTTAAAGGACTACACCATTAAACATTACTAGCAATTAATTAGCGTTTTGATGTAATGGAGTAAGTTTATCAAAATGCCATTGATGTAAGAACAGATAAACAGAGGATTGTAAATTATACTAAATGTTACATGACTAACCAAAACTCCAAAACTGAGCTTGAGAAGTGCAACCATTTCACAACCTGGAAGGCACATACCTTGTGGTGAATTCAAATATTTAAAATTCCACTGTTACAGAGGATGAGCCACCTCTGCTTACACAGTGTGTGGATCTTGGAAGAGGTTTCCCTGTATTTACAGGGTCATATTCAAAGCATGACTTCACAAATATAAAACAATTCTGAAAATATGTCCAGTTGAACAGACCACCAGCTAAATTCATTACACAGTTCCTACTTAATATAATGGATTCCAATCACAATTTGTGGTTCTCGTATCATCTCTTTCTCCACTCTTCAGTTTTATCACAGTTCCAAACAAGTTCCTCCTCCATACTTATGTATTTAGCTGCATGGAGCCAAATCAATCTGCAAGTTAAATATCATCGCAAATCTCTCAGCGATTTGAAGGACAGTGTAAATGGAACAAACAACTGGATGACGTGCTGTGAATACATGTCCATGCCATTAAAGATGCAAAGATGTTTACTGTCCTCCTCAGAAAGTATTTTCTTTTGAAGGTTCTTACACTGGGAAACACGTAAAGAGAGGGAAAACAAAAGTCCAAGTTTAGCCTAGCACTGAAATACTGAAGATCAACAGATGACCTGCTTCACAATGCAGCCTGATATGGCCAGGGTGGCTGAGTGCGCATTTTGATGAGGTAGCTAGTAATAGTCAGCTACTTGCACTAAATAGGGCTTCAGTCTCAAAATGAATCATCTGTACAGCTCTCAAGTTACCCTGGAGCTTGTCCTTCTAGCAGGGGAGGATCATCACGGTTGGTGTTCAAATCCTGGTCTTACTTCTCCTTTTGCGTCATTTTTTTCATGAAGAAACAGGAATCGATTTGTGAGTGGATAGTCAAAAGAAAGATGCTTATGTGTGCGTCTTATGCAATGCTAAGAGGGGGAGGAAGTAAGATGTAAGCAGGCTTGGGTAGTTTTGAAAAAAATGTAAGCAGCTGGAGTACAAAACAATGAAGGAGTCAGCAGAATATTACTTTATGCTGCAAAGGCTTCTCCAAGTGAGAACGGAGTTCTGCCAGTGCTTGCTGTGAAGGGAACAAGCAAGAAGTGGGCGTCATTTGCACTGAGGATGAGAGGGCGCTCTTGTATCGATTATTGAAGGATGTGATCCAGTGAAAGAAATCACATGGGGGAAGAGTGATGGAGAAATGGAGAGCTGTACTCATCTGCGCTGCTTTTGTCAATTAATTGGAACATTTCCTGCACAGAATTGAGGCTTCAGGGGTAATGTTCCTGGAGCTGAAGATTTCAGCCACCCCTCTCCAGGTGAGGTGTATGTCAATTATTACAATCATCTGAAAGAGTACATCTCTGCTTTCCCTTACCTCTTCCACAGAGACCTCCAGGGAGGCTTCAGAGCCCTTAGGGACTTGCTGTAACAGATCTTACCATACCAATCTCACAGAACAATCTGCCAGATGGGAATGAAACCTTGCTTTCAGAAATGCATTTCCGCTTTAAATAGGCCTCTGGGGGCTCCCTTGAAATTACAACCAGAAAACGGGTAGGCTTCTTTCCCATTGCTGATGTGATCTGTTGGAAAGCCCTCCAGTCAGATGTTAATGATCCCTAGAATTAAAATACCTGTTATTCATGACTGTTTTTAACTTGTACTATGTTTTTACAGGGTCAGATTTTTAGTGATTTGTCAATTATTCTCCAGAATTCTGATCTTTGTATGTATGATACACATGACTCATTTTGTAACTTTGTAAGACTTTTGTATTAATATGAAGCATATGTAACAGTCATTCAGAGTGCACAATTTAAGCTTGAGCTATGCCTTGATCTCCTTAAATTCAATACATGCTATTCCTCTCTTTCCCTGTTTCCAAAACATGGTGATACTTAACTCTATAATTTATATTTTGCATGCATGGCAGCCAATTTTCTTTACCAACGGTTGTCATTGTTGCCACCATGCTAATTTTTGTGGCTTTTTGCAGGAAGAGTATTTTTCAAACAATATTGGCACACAGACTTTTACTGGATTACAAGAAAAATGTCTCGTCTCACATGATTGGTAAAGTATTTTTATTGAAAAATAAAATGCTTTGCTGGGGAGACCTGCTTTGGTCACTGAATGTGGCAACATCAAGAAGAACAGTCAAAAAGAATTGCCTACAAACAGAACAATCTTTCTACTGCAAAAATAGTGAAATAGGATTTTGGCCAGAGTCATAAATATTAGAGTTTTTCTCCATTCATGAAGAGTGGTAAAAGAAGGATAGACCCACCTCTGAACAGACAAATACTTAGAAATAATGGAATGATGATATCATCCAGAAATACTGTCATTTCTGCCATCACTGCGTCAGATGTTACTCAAATTGCATAAGGTGAATTTTTCTCTCCTGGTGAATTGGAGAAATAGGGATAAATGATGGGGTGGGTAAAAATATTATGAGTAAAGTAGAGGTGAAGTATGTTGTCCACTCCAATCTCCTCATCTTCTTTTCCATCGTCAGTGACTCAAGTAGAGGAGGAGAAATTGTGATTTTAGAATTTTATACAAACAGCTGGATCACACAAAAAAAATTATTAGTTTCCATGCTTGAGGTAAGATCTGAAAGCCTTGCATCTGGTTGGATACTGATGGTCACTTGCTCTTTAACATCTCTAACTATGAGAGATTTGATGGCTTGTCTCCCGAAGATTGTAGGGTGTTTCTTCTTCTTGTGAGTGGCATTTTGCTGTCAACTATGTGTAACTGGTGATTCCCAGTTTTAGAGTGAATGGCTTCCTGTGAAGGGAGATAAAACAAATAGGGGCATGATTTCAACATTGTAAGTGGGCACAGTTACTTTATATGACAACTTCATTTATCACTCAATAGTTGGGCTTGTAATCTACACAGCAGGGATGTTCGTGGATTTGTTCATGTCTGTTCCTTCATCGTTACAACAAAGAACAGAATATCACAGCTAAACAACATAAGGCTGGTACAGCTTTAAATTGGCTGCAAGGAATGTTCACTGGAAATAGGTACTTTACTTTTGCTCCTCGGTTGACCTTGTTAAATTCCTTCATGTCTCCCAAAGGAGTCTAGAGGGCTGGCATTCTGGAACAAATGACCAAAAAGACAGACTTGTGTTCATGTAGCACCTTTCACAATCACAAAGCACAAAGTTTGCAGTCAATATTATACTTTTGAAATTAAGTCACTGATATGACAAAGGAAATGTAGCCACTAATTTGTACACAGAAATCTCCCACAAACCACATTGTGATAACAACTAGATGAACTGTTAATGTGATGTTGATTCTGGGATAAATTTTGATCAGGGTTCTGGTCTTCTAGTAGTGTAGTAAACCAGTGTAAAATAAAAGGGAGTGACTGCTGCTAGTCGTATTAGCGTTCATGTGTAGAATTCTGTACATTGATGAGGGAATCTCCACCATGAATGTTCTAGGATTTCTATGTAGCACCACCAAAGTCTCAGAATCATAGGATTCTGTTCCACATTACACAACTTCCCTACCACATAAAGAAGCATACCCATAAATTTGTTCTCATCTGTTGGTCAAGTGGGAAATCTTGCTTGAAGAACTCTCTCCAGATAGAACGAGTCTTAAGGTAGAATTTAATCAGCATAACTCTGACTTAAGCCCTATCTTGTTAATATTTGTAGCATAAGGTGGACCAATATACTATCATCACCATTGGTAGCTGATGCCAATCCATTCCTTTGTGCTATGTTATTCCATCCCAATTCTGAGTAAACACAGGACACAGTTGAAATAAACTCCCAGTCTGTTTTATTCAACTTATTACCGTGAGAATGTGTACTTGTTCAGTTTGATTCATCCCAGTTCTCACCATGTATAGTACGTACCTATTAATATCTGACTTTGTGCTACATCTAATGAATTTCCCAGAGCAGGAACTGGAGGAAGACCTAAGTTCACACGAGGAGGAAACTTTTAAATAATTAGTAATGGGTGTGAGAGATGACAAGTTTAGAGATGAGATAGCAAAGATTTGATAAAGTCTAGTTAAGCTCATCAAATGTGGTATCAGCTTCAAATGCTTCCTAAAGTTACAGTCAAAATGATGCTTTAAGTCACGTCACATGAGTGATTTTAAACAAAAAGTCACCGTGTGCACAATTAAATATATTCTTCTGTGTTTAACCTCATAGGAAATGCTTTGGATGAAGAAACCAACCACTCCAGGGATCACCTGGCTTCTTCCATATTCACAACTGCTGCCACACCTTTGGGATCCACAACCACGGCTATGTACACCCCAGTTCCATCACAGCATCTCAACTATTCCAGCACCAGCTCAGAGAAAACCACTCACAAGGAAGTAGATGGTAAGTTACAATGAGTCTGAATTTGGAAAATTCAGAAGAATGAGCATGAAGATCTGGGGGTGGAAGGCATGAAAAGTATCATTCCTGTGTGGAAGATGGAGAAATACCTACTCCTGACAAAGAGCTGAGAATTTAAAGGCCTGAAGTTGCAAATAGATTGGAGCTATAGAATGAAAAAGCACAGACCCTGCTTCTTTCCTTCTTGTGATCCATTCTGCTGTCACTTTAAGATCTGATTCCCAGACCTTCAATGCAGCACTAGCAGCAGAGTTGAATATGTATGTTCAATGGTTTGGGATGAATTAGGATTTAACTGCTGTTGTTTAGCTATCATCAATTACAATTGTGTAGTTCAAGGATAGATTAAACAAATTTTCAACATTAATGTTGTTTAAGTGATTAATTATCTGCTAAATCTTAAAGGATTGCAGGAGTATCATTATGGGCTGTTATTTTCTCTTGACCACTAAAAAAATTGCTTTTCAAGGATCGAACATTTCAAAAATGTGCAATCTAGGCAATTTTTGATAACACAATTAAGGCAGAAATACGACTCATCTATTTTAATCACAACAACCAGGTTTCACGGGTTTCACACAAATTCCAGCATAAGACTTATTTGACACTCATCGGTGTGAAATCGGCTACTTCACTCATTATTATGGTGGCTGATTGTGAGTGTGAACATCTTCTAAAGTTTAGAGAGGGAGCTTTGTCCTGCATCAAACTGCAAGGAGTCCCTGGTTTGCGAATGGGTTCTGTCTAAATTCCATTCGCAAGTTGATTTGTACGAAGTTAGAACACAATGCAAGACGATGTAAAGCAGCTCTTCGTATATACAGGAAATGTTTGTATGTCAGATCTTTAAAATTGCAGCCCTGTATGGGATCACATTCAAAAGCACAAGCATTAGTAAGCTGGACATTTGTAATTCAGGGAGCCCCTGTATCCTAACTTTGACCACGCAGCAATTTGAATTTCCAGTTCTCTTCCACTGCCAGGACTTCTGCTTGCTATTCTGCCTTACATGTCACCCATTCTCAAATTCTCAGTGTGTTTTCTTTACAGATACTGGGTATATGACCCATTTTCCATTTTGTCTGGCCTTCTGTTTCATTGGTAGGAATATTTTTGTAACTCCGTTGACACTTCATCAGGAATGCAGGCTGTTTCAGCCAAGAATTGCTGATTTTGTTTTTTCCAATAGGAGTATTGTAGCGGGGGCAAAGAAATGAGAATAGTGTCAATGACTCTAAAGGGAACTGGCAGGATACCAGGTGGCTATTATAGTTCCCCTTGTCCTGGTTCTTCCAATAACAACCTGTAACAGCTTACCACACTTCTGGAGTAACTTGATTTCTAGAAGAAAAGGTGTACAGACTTGAGAGAAAAATTCTCATCCTCTTAATCTGGTTTATAACAGCAGTTTCTTTCCAGTCCCATGAAATTCAGTGTCTGAATTGCATTGTGTTCCATCTCTCAGCATGAACTTCCTTCCCTTTAATCGGCACAAAAATGCTTCTTCAACAACAGATGTTTTTATAGGTTTTCATGGAATTTTATCATGTTGTGGAACAATACTGAACAATTACTTTGTCAGCCTGTACTTCACAGATCTGCAAATGTGGAAGAAAATGAAAATCCTTTGTCCAAAGTCAAATCCATAGTTGTTGATAGGAGTCCCCTTGTTTGGATGGTTTAAAATGCAGTAATATCTATTATTCATGTGTTTCCAGTCATTTATTAAGAGTAACAAATTCTGGCATCTAATTTCTACATGGTGTTGATTAATGTCATATAAGTTGCAAATAAATAAATTAATAGCATCTAATTTTTCAGTTCTGTCACCTAATTAGTGATTAACAAACACATGACAACACACAGTAAATTGTTACTAAATGGATGCTACTGTTTCTACTCACTCAGAAGGCAATCAATATAGATGATAGTCCCTACTATGTACTTGCAGCCTGTGCCTTCCCAAAAAGGTCTACGTATATTGTGTAAGTCAAAGGTCAAAGTTATAGTTCTACTATAGGGTCTGTTTCACCAGCTTCTCATTTGCAATTCTCTTTCTCCCCTGCAGTGGCTTTGTCTTTTTGACAAAGTCTAAGATAGCATCTGTGGGCTTCTAACTCTCTAAATGTCTTTCTGTATCTTGGTGATTGCATGTTGTAGATAGTCAGCATTGAAGGTGAAGGGAGTGTGCGGAGTGGGGGAAGGGAACACAAATTTGCCAGGTTTGCTGTATACAAATTTGGACATTGTTGCAGGGGCCACCAACAGTCAAGCAGGCTTCTTAAAAGGCCAACCTTGGTTTTTTGGGACTTTTCCAGACTTCAGCCCTCAAATTTCTCTATCTCCAACTAATAACCCATGCTCTGTCTATGCCAGATCATTCCACCCCATGCTCCTACCCACTCTCAATGGCCCTTCATAACATCTATTCCAACCATAGCCCTATCCAATGGTACCTTATAGCCCCATGCCGACTTATTGCCAGCTTATGCCAACTCACTCACTCCCCTTTGCTGTTCTATCCTCCACACCACTCATGCAAAATCTACCATGGGCAGACATCATGACCAATGTTCAGATCAAGTGAATTTCTAAATATCTATTGTAACCTTTAGTAGATTAAGAGAAAACTCTTAATCATGAATGCCCATTCAAAACATTTAAGTCACATTGGCTCCCACATCACAAATAGAAGCAAATCAATAAGACAGACCTGTGCTCTTAACATTACATTACAGATGGGTTATTCTTTAAATAATGTCTTTGACGTGTCAAACTGTGAACTTTGCCTCCTATCCCCACCTACTGAGATAGTTCTAGGTTCAAATTAGCCAATCGTGAATAAATACATCATGATAACCTTTGGAGTAATGTAACCAAACAACAATTGTAACGCTAGAAATTTTAAAAATTAAATTATTCTCATTTGATAACGGCAATACTTTTAAAAAGAATTTTTGCAGGGCTTCACAGCTGAGTGTTTTTTTTAAATGCAAACTGACACAAGCAGGCTGTTTATTAAAAAGTTAAAGGGCTCAGTATTTAATTAATTTCAGTGCTTAACAGTTCTGCCAACCTTATCCACCCTTCAAATACATTTGTAACTCTGCTAAGAATGTTTAATTCTCTCACCATGGTTTACAGACCTTATTAAAATGAAAGTATGCCTGTCTGAAACAGCATTACATTTAAGCATCTCTGCTGAATTTGGAGCCCATTCCCAAAATCTGTCCCCCTTTTCCCCCCTACTGGCCAAAATGAGATCTGTTTGAAAAGGAGGCAGGACTTCAAGATCCAGATCTTGCCTGCCACAAAGTCTCCCTGACTCTGTGAAAATCTGTGTCTTGATTGAAAAGCACACTCAGTTCATCGATGCAGTGTTTCCCATGAGCACCATATTAAACAAGGTGTGGTGGGGGTCAGGGGTGGGGGGTATTCTTGAGATTTCAGAGGTGGTGGATATGTCCAGCTACCTTATTCAAACATAAAATGAACTTCTCACTCGTGCCATTAAACAGGGCATAAATTTCTCTCTAGAGTCTCAGTAGCTGGCAATAGTTTCTGCTCCCAAATTACTTGTTCTTTATGCTAAATGTAAATTAAGCAAATTGATCATCAGTTGTAGAATAATAATTTGAAATATTGTCTGTTGTAAGCAACGTCTCATTTTATACAATGTTGCAATCCTCATTGAGCGGTCAAGTGCGCAAGTTTACTATAAGTTGGTAGGATCTTGAAATGGTATGAGAGGGTTTCCCCTTTGTCTCTATTGTTAAGAAGTTAGATTTTTCTTTACACATCCCATTATGAAATAGTTGAGAACTATCGCCTGTGTGCTGCTAAATGAAATATTGATTTCAATGCTGTTTTAGTAAAGCTTTTCTGATAAAGTCAAAATACCACTGTTGCTGTAAATCTGAAACAAATGCAGAGAATGCTAGAGAGACTCAACAGGTCTGGCGCCATTTATGGAGAGAGAAACAGAGTTAACATTTCGAGACTGGTATGCATCTTCTTCAGAGCTACCAGCTCTGAAGGACTGTCATATCTGATTCAATACATTAACTTTGTTCTTTCTGTCCATAGGTGCTGCCAGGCCAGCTTTGATTGTGTTTGTTGATAGTCAATACAGTGGATATGGCAACAAAGCAAAATGATCAAGAAGCATATTTAAAACTACTGGTTCTGGTAGAATTAAACTTAGTGATAGTCAGAAAGGTCAGAAATTAGATGACACCAGGTTATATAGTCCAACAGGTTTATTTGAAATCACAAGCTTTCAGAGCATTGCCCCTTCCATATCATGGATACTCGTAAAGTCAAACCTACTAGTAGATTTCCTCACGTTTCCTGTTCATAGAATCCCTACAGTGTGGAAACAGGCCGTTCAGTCCAACAAGTCCACACTGACTCTCTGAAGAGCATCCCACCCAGACTCTCATCCCTCCTACGCTATCCCTGCATTTCCCATGGTTAATCCAACTAACCTACAAATCCCTGGACACTATGGGCAATTTAGCATGGTCAATCTACCTAACCTGCACATCTTTGGACCGTGTGAGGAAACCAGAGCACCCAGAGTAAACCCACACAGGCACAGGGAGAATGTGCAAATTCCACACAGAAGGTCACCCAAGGCTAGGATTGAACCCAGGTCCCTGAAGCTGTGAGGCAGCAGTGCTAACTACTGAGCCACTGTGCTGCCTTTTTTTTTTGTATTGGTTCATTTCTAAATTATCCAACACGACCTGAAAGATTTGATTTTAATGAGGCAGTTCAGATTTAAGGATAGAGATGAATCCAAACCTGATGACAATTATTAACTGCTGCCATTTTCAACAGTTGTCTTGAAAAGTGAATTTTCACATACAATACTGAAGGGCAACAGAATTCGTTGGCTGATGCAGCAATATTTTATATAGTTATGTTTATAGATTTTATATTTCCTAGACTTTTATTTGACACAATGATGAATAGATTTC